TAGATAGATAGATAGATAGATAGATAGATAGATAGATAGATAGATAGGACTAAACACACTGGCCCCAGACCAGGAGAGACTCAGACTATTTAAACACATGAAGGGAACCCAAGAGGAACCAATCCGGGATCAGAGGGGACAATCAGACATGTGACACACAGGGGAGTTCAAGAGACCTGGGGATGTACCTTTCAAAATAAAACAGGAAGTGACAAGACAACCATGGAGACAGGACAAAAAAACAAGTTTTCACTGCCTGTTAGCCGTCATCTGGGCACCGATTGTGCTGGAGACTGTAAAACTTTACAGGCTTGATTGGATTGGGGGGTAGGATGCTCCGGTGGGCTGTTGGGTTGTTGGGTTGATGCTGAGTTTTGAATCCCCAGGTGACGTGCACCACCGCCTGGTCCCAGACCCGGGGCAGGTCAGCCCCCGGACGCTGGACCTGCTTGTCAACGCCATCGCGATCAACAGCGCCTACACCTCCAAGATCCTGGTGAGTCCGAATAACTCTCTGTCATTTCCTCCTGACGACCACCACACGTCTCACATCCTAGGCAGTCTACCCGACATTTCAAAATGGATGAAAGCCCATCAGATCCAACTGAATCTCTCAAAAACCAAACAGTATTCAAATCCAGGGGCGGCTCCCCCTGACCCCCCTCTCCACAGAGCTATCTAACTCCTATCCTAACTCCTCCAGACCTCTGGACCCTCTACTCCTCTTTCTGTTCTTCCCTCTATCTCCTCCTATCTCCTCTGATACTGACTGGGGCTTTTCCTCCAGAGAGCTGATTGTCAGATTGATGATAGTTGTAAAATTGTTTTTACTTTGGGAGTCGCTTTGGAGAAAAGCGTCCAAATGCAGAAACATAAAAGCCTTCAAAACGGCTTTAAAAGCCCCCAAAAGAGCTTTAAGATCCCCCTCAAAAAACAGTGTTAAAAGCCCTGAAAAAACAACTTTAAAAGCTCTGAAAAATAATTTCCCCCTAAAAACAGCATTAAGATGGTGGAACTGTAACCAACACTGGGTCTACTTTGTAAGTCGCTTTGGATAAAAGTTTAAATACAGAAACATAAACATAAAAGCCCTCAAATCAACTTGAAAAGCCCCAAAAAACAACTTTAAAAGCCCTGAAAAATCATTTTTATAGTCCCTCCAAAAACAGCTTTAAGATGGTGGAACTGTAACTAACACTGGGTCTTCTTTCTACTTTGTAAGCCTCTTTGGATAAAAGCGTTTAAATGCAGAAACATAAATATAAAGGCCCTCAAATCAACTTGAAAAGCCCCAAAAAACAGCTTTAAAAGCCCTGAAAAATAATTTTTATAGCCCCCCCCAAAAACAGCTTTAGAAGCTCTGAAAAAACAGCTTTAAAGTCACCTCAAAACAGCATTAAGATGGTGGAACTGTAACTAACACTGGGTCTACGTTGTAAGTCACTTTGGATAAAAGCGTCTAAATGCAGAAACATAAAAGCCCCCAAAAACAGCTTGAAAACCCCCCAAAAACAGCTTTATAAGCCCTGAAAAAACAGCTTTAAAATCCCCCCCAAAACAGCTTTAAAAGCCATGAAAAAACAGCAGTAATATGGTGGAACTGTAACTAACATTGGGTCTACTTTGTAAGTCTCTTTGGATAAAAGCGTCTAAATGCAGAAACATAAAAGCCCCCCAAAACAGCTTGAAAAGCCCCCCAAAACAGCTTTAAAAGCCATGAAAAAACAGCTTTAGAAGCCCTGAAAAAACAGCTTTAAAGTCCCCTCAAAACAGCTTTAAGATGGTGGAACAGTAACTAACATTGGGTCTTCTTTGTAAGCCGCTTTGGATAAAAGCGTCTAAATGTAGAAACATAAGAAACAGAAACTGTGGTTCCTTTTTTTTTTGGTGACTGTTCAGACCTTTTTCCTTTTGTCCTCCTGCAGCCCCCGGACGTGGAGGGGGGGCTGGCCAAGCAGGTGGGGAACAAAACGGAGTGCGGCCTGCTGGGATTCGTGTTGGACCTCCAGAGGGACTACGCCCCCGTTAGGGAGCAGATGCCCGAGGAGAGGCTCTACAAGGTGGGTCTCCCATCTAAACTCATCTAAACTCATCTAAACTCATCTAAACTCAACTTTATTTATAAAGCGCTTTCAGTCAGCCAAAGCTAAAATCAAAGCGCTGTACAGGTCGTTTGAGCGAATCATAAAACACAATTATCACCACAACACAAGACAAACTCAAAGATGAAAAACAGTAAGAGCAACAAAAAAAAAAGAAAAAACTAAACTGAAATGTTCAACTGGATACCGATACTCAGGAAAATATTCGATATTCGATACTATTTTCGATACCACAAGGATAAAAACAAAGACCCCAAAATGTAAGAAAATGTATGAATTTTGACAGGTTAGTGTTTTTCGTTTCAAACTTGCCTATTACTGATGTTATGGTGGACCACATTAATGACCCTAATCCTAACCCTAACCCTAAACATAATCCTAACCCTAACCCTAACCCTAACCCTTCATAATTGTGAGAAATAAATATTTTTGGTTAAACTTGTTTGGACTTATTGTACAAACCTATTTGACATCCACTATTTTAACATAATATTATCGATAAAGTTTAATTCAGTGTTTGCAAGATTAATTTCACTATTTTTAAATTAATGTCTATATTGCCATGAAGCAATTAGGATTTTCTTGCCTGGGATCTTCCTATTGGTGACCTAATCAAAATGGCCGACTTGGATGTGGGGGAGTTGGATATCCATCCTTGGCTTCCTGCAGTACTTGATTAATGTTGGCGTGTTATTATTAGCCATTAGCCGCAACTAGCAATTCAAGGCTAACGTCACGTTAATGACCATAAACAACTTAAATAAATTAGAGAGAAGGTAAACAACGTAAATAAATAAATAAATCAGAGAGAGGAGGGGGGGTATCGATACTTTTGAAAATGAGTATCGTATCCGGATGAAACGTTTTAGTATCCATACTATATACTTGTTTACTTTATTTAATACTTTGTTCATAGCCTTGTTTACCTTATTTTATACTTTGTTCATAGTTTTGTCACAGCCTTGTTTTTTAAAATAAAATAAGCAAGACTATGGCAGAAGTATCAAAACAAGATTAACAAGGCTGTGGCAAAGTGCAAAGATCAAAATCTTACGTGGCGTGGGCAAGACGAGGAACGAAAAGACAAAGACAGCGAAAATCCAAAACCAAAAACTCACTGGCACAGGACATGGGAAACGAGGACTATTTAAACACATGAGGGAGGGGAACCCCAGGTGAACACAATAGGTAATCAAGACATGACAACACACAAGAAAATCCCCCAGACGTGACAAAAATAAATTATGAAAATGGAAAGAAAAACAGGTAAAACTTGCAAACACTTTGAATATATGTGCATTTTTATGGCATTTTCAGTTATTGTCCGTTTGGCTTGAAAACTACGACCAGTTTCAGCTGCCTGTGAAGGCTAAAACATACAGCTTTAAGAAATACTTTTACTAAACTTCTGTAAATGTGGGGCTCCATAAAGGCTGACATAAAGGGCAGCCCAGGAGTTCCTCTGAATTTGGACCACCCACCCCACCCACAGGCCAAAAAATAAAAAAAATAAACAAATGAATAAAAAAAAAAAGATAATAAAAAAAAAATGTATAAATAAATAAAAAGTATAAAGAGAAAAACAGATAAAAAAAGGGTAGACATGAATGTAAATGTAGATAGAAATCAAGTGGAAATCATGTTAGACATTCAAGTATCCTCAGGGTCAAGAAGATTCAAAGAGTCAAAATCTAAGTCTAAGAATCTAAGAAAAGGGTCCCATGTAGCCCCAAATAACTTGATGGAGCCTCTAAGAGAGAACCTCAGTTTCTCTACTTTGAGGTTGTAAAGCACCTCTCGAATCCCCCCAATTTTCTAAGTTTATTTAACATAGGTGGCTCTGAATTTTCCCTAGGAGAGAGCTTTAGTGGGCATGGCTGTGTGTCTCTGGCCACCCGGGGACAGTTTGGACCCCCTCCAGCCTGAATTGGAT